CTGTCGTCTGATAATTGGTAGACTCTTAAATCAACACGTTTGTTCGTCGTTGCGCCAGCTTAGATCCCTTCAAAACCCTCAGGGGGGAGTCTCAAACCGCGGGTCTTCCAGTTGGCGACTTCTAGACATTTAAGCGTTCAGCTAAGAGTGGCTAAACAACTGTGTTGCCAACTCGCATTTCAATAGTGTTTAGCGCCACTCAAGAAGATGATGATTCCCGCCAAAGATGAAACAGCTGTACAGTGATTTTTGGCATAGATTTAGCTTCACCTACGGGACCATGTTTCAGTTAAAATTCTTCAAATCCGTCCATACTACTTTTTCATGACTTATATTTTGCCACGATTTGGTTGTCACGCGCAGATGTAACATCCTCGTGCTACCATGTGTGATCACGTGGTGAGTACAGAGTCTCTTGAGTCAATCTTATATTTTGCCACGATTTGGTTGTCACGCACAGATATAACATCCTCGTATTACAACGTGTGATCACGTGGTGAATACAGAGTCCCTTGTTTCAACCAACTGTGTTTGGGTTGATCACCTGCGTAACACGATTTGCAATCGATAACTCCTCACCTTCTCATCGTGGATAAAATCTACGTGCTCCGCCTCTACGACCGAATGAAAGCATTTGAATTTAAAGGTGCCACGTGAATTAGGGACTGGACTGAACATCTACAAATCTTAGTGGTACGATTGAGACAGACGTTATAGGGGACAAACTGAGGGAAAACAGTTCATCAGAATGTGTAAACACAAGCTTGTCAGAGGAACAAATCACTCAATATCCGATCAATTCGGAACTGTTTGGGACTGATTGGGAAGTCATCGTTTTAGAGAGTTTTGGTAAACAATCGGTAAATTCATTGCTGGGCTTTTGAAGCATAAGCTTCGTCAGGCCAAGCGAGTAAGCAAGTAAGTAGGTTGGGTTTTAAGGCAATCAGGGTACCAATCCGTGAGATTCCTTATGACTAGCCGACTTGATCGGTGCTGGGTGTTCAGTCTGATGTTCCTGTTTGTTGGTTAGTGGGGATGACTAACATTTACGATAGATTGGTTAGAAGGGGGTGTTTTGTCTTCATGTAAAACCCCGATTTTTCGTCCTTGCTTTTTCCGTCTGGGACACCTTAATAGAAAACTCCTCTTGGGGTCGTTCACAAGTTTCGTTCACTTGTGTTCACCTGTCAGAGGGCACCGGAACAATTGGTTTGGGGATGGGGGTGGTTAATTGGATCTAACTCTACTTGGATTTTGTACTTTTAGACCCAGACCATTTCGCTGATAACTGCACACGGCCTCGTGTCATCTCGGCTGATCTATGACCGCTCTCCACATGTGTGCAAGTTCTACCAACTCTATTGTATTTACGCTTGGATGCTTGGCGATTTCCATCGCTTTTGTGTCAAAAGCGAAACGTTGACCAGCAATAAACCCATCGATTGTTCACCAAACCTCTCTGAAACGATCACGCAATATCCCTTATTCAAGTTGACAAAAACAGGGAATGACAACAGTTCATTCATGATAACGTTCAACCAATTGCTCATAGAACGTAAAGAGAATAAGTGTCCGCGAATATACACTCATTTGCAAACTAATTTGGTTTTTCAAGGGACTCACCTGGAAACTAGCCGAATCTCCCGTTTGTGATGTTCTCAGGTAACTGAATGTGCTGCGTCAGGCCGCCTCATGTTTCAGTCCCTACGATATTCGAGATATCGTGAAAAATGTATATCTTTGTAATGTACTACTCATAAGGTTGCTGAAAATCCTTCGACATTCCACGATCAGTTTCGCCTTTCAATTTGGGTTCAAGTAGAACATAAGTTTGGTGGAAACCCGGGGACTGCGCCTACCTGATGAGCCCAAAGTGGAAGGGCGAAACCGGTCGTGGAGTGTCGACGGATTTTCAGCAACCTTGTGAGTAGTACATTACAAAGAATAAGAGTGTGTCCACAGAGAAACCAATGAAAAAACAATTCGATATCAACTCAGTCGACCAGCCCCTACGAAAAAATGAAACAATGTTTGGACTGCATACTCCGTCTGGAATTAGACAATAGAACAACGGCAAGCGGACTGGTTAATTTAGAGAATGAAGGCTACTAAAAATAGAGGATTATGTTAACAACTAGCCAAACAACAAAGCAAGAATTGAGCAATAACGGTGGAGTAACAGAACTGCTGGAACAGTGAACCAATCAGATGCAAGCTGGTGAGACCACAAGGCGATTCAGGTTCCAATCAAGTTGCACGAAGGCTGTCCACCGACGAACCAATCACAGCGGATTCAGCTGATGCTGTTTTGAAACACCGCCCTGACGAATCGTGTGCAATTGTTAGGCTCGGCGAACAGAACGATTTCCATGGCATTCTGTTTCTGAATGTGCGGCCAACGCGACGACCAAAGAATCCGCTAAAAAGGGCACTTCTCCACAGATCCAAGTGGGTTTTTGCATTGACTTCTTGAGACTAAGGACGAGTTAACATGTACGGTGACGATCTCTGATATTTGCGCTGACAGAGCAGAACAAATGCACAGATAAACGCAGCCGGAAACTAATCGAGTGTGAACATCAGCATTTTTACTGGTAATGTTGTTTGTGGTGCTTACATGAATGTACTCATCTATGCAATTATGGAACAGCTGTAAGCTAGTCAGTCGCTTCCCTGCCGAAGCTTCCCAGGCCTATGTCATCACCTTCCAGGACCTTTTTCATCGTAGCGGTCATGTGATGGATAACGGCACATTGTGACCTGAGCTAGAGATCCAAGCCATGCCTCACTACTCCGAAGAACCCACGTCAAATCAAAATAGAATGCAATTTTGGGGTTACGGCCGTGTTCCTGTTCTGGCCTAATTATTCCGGTGCCTCCACACCAAAGGGGGAAGCACTGGACTCGAGTTTCGCCCTTATTAGAGGTCATCAGCAGTGCATATCCAATGGTCAATCGATCGTCACAACCAGGACAGTTACTGGGTCGTCGTTCGATGAGTCGGGCACACCAATCAATCACATCGCTCAAGTGTGAACACGTTCGCCTGTTCAGACGTGAAAATTCACACGCGTCCAACGTGGTTACACGATCGCCTCGCGTGTCAGATGTCCGGGGTGCAAATCCCGGCACGGCCATTAGATATGCACTGCTGAGCTCTAATAAGAGCGAAACTCGAGTCCAGTGCTTCCCTTTGATGTGGACTCACCGGAATAATTACGCCAGAACAGGAACACAGCCGTTCGAACGACGGTGGTGTGGTTATGAACAAAATAGAGTGGTCCGTTTCAGTCTACTGGATTTGTCTCGCAAACAAACACAGACAAGCAGTTCACGGTCGGGTTCTTGGGCGAATCAGAGAGGGAGAGTCGAGTTCGATACTATCAAGAAGTTCAGCTTCCTGAAAGCAACCACTGAATGCCCGAAATCTACCGAGACTTTCAGCTCCGCTAGATGTTGACCAGACAGAAAACACCCCCTCGATATGTACCGCCTCACAGCCTTGTATCAAACCCAGACGGTGTGCGTCACCACTGAACTAAGTTCATTGAAATAAGTTCCAATAAATAGCTTGAGGCCGTTGTAGTTTTCGCACTCGCACGCATCCACGCTCTCGCATTCGTTTGTTTGGAATATAGCCATTGTGTTCCCTTCTGTGGGTCTTTTTTTCTCCGGCATTAGGCACTGGAGCGGGTCAGCAGCAGATACCACAGATTGATGAATCAGCAGATATAACAGTATGTCAACCTTAAGCTTCTGAAAGTCAGCAGCACGTGAAAAAGAGAGTGAGCAGACCAGACACCACAGATTGGCGAATCAGCAAATATAACAGATAGTGAGAGAGGAGATACTGTAAGCGAATTATACAAAATCTCTTCTGTCAAAACTCTTCATCAGTGCTTCCTGGATGTCAGAAACGTTCTTATTTCATAGCTAGCTTATCCCGTAAAGTGAGATCACAAAACTAGTCGTGACGATCAGCGACATACACTCGTTTGTTTACTCATTTGTTTTGACGAGAGACCCTGGGACCGCGCCACCTTGATACGCCCCAAGAAGGGCGAAGGCAGTTGTGGGCTGTCGAGGAGTTTTCAGAAACCTTAAGAGTAGTGTAATACCTATATAAATGCATCGCTATATCCCGAGTATCGTGCCAACTCAAACATGAGTCGGTCTGGTGCAGCACATCCAGCTGTGTTCCAAACCAAAACCAAATTGGTATGCAAACGAGTATAGTTCACTAATTTTGCGCGATTCCGGTTCAAGCAGATCAGTAGGTGAACGGGAGCTCTCTTACCGTTTATGGGCTGTCGAAGAGTTTTCAGCAACCTTGTGAGTAGTTCCTTTATGAAAGCATACTGAGATATCTCGAATATCATGCCAACTGAAACATGAGGCGGCCTGTGTGCAGAACATTCAGTTGTAGAATATTATGAACGAGATATTCAGTTGAGTCTCTCGTGAAAACCAAATTCATTTGCAAATGAGTTTATTTGTCGAAAACAGTCCAGTTAGGGTTCAAGTAGAACATAAGGTTGACGGAAACTCGGGGACCGCGCCTTTCTGATGAACCGATCCCAAGGAGGGCGAAATCGGTCGTGGGCTGTCGAAGAGTTTTCAGCAACCTTATGAGGATGGTAGTATAGCTATGAGAGTGATGATATTTTATCTGTTTGCCAGCATCGTAGCACGGATTTCAGGAAATATCAATTGGGCTGCCACATTACTATGGGTTTCGCTGTAAAACATCGCATCCTGTGCACTTCCGCGAAAGCGGCTGGTAAACAGATCGCCAGCTACATTTACGCTACTAAAAAGGAATAAGTAGTTAAAATATGTTACATTTTCACATCGTCAATGTCTTGCCTCAATTATGGCTTTGCCCGAACTTCGATAAAATAGAAAAACATTTACGAATAAACAATCCGTGCAGCTCAATTTTGCCTCCTTTTTCCAACCGGAAATAAATGACTGTTTTAAACGTCTGCCTTCTACCCTAGAACCACTTCAACTCTGCATCTGGTGTCTTGATGGCGATCCGGAACACAGCAATTTGTTGAAGTTCGCTATAACCAAAGCAAATATTTGGCATACCATGTTAGTTATCTGCCTAGATCTGTCGGACCCGTGGTCTCTCCTCAATGATCTACAATTGTGGCTCAGTATTATTGAAAAACACGTGACCAGATTGAAATTGGATCCTGGGGAATTAGAGATGCTCCAAATTTCCGGTAAGGTACCGTTCAGTCAAACGAAAACGAATTTGTGAATGCAGAATGCTCGTTTTTTTGTGTAATCCTTTATTTTTCGCATATCTGCTTAAATGTTGCAATAATTTTATTCAGAATACTCCTCAGACCGGAGATTTGCTCTGCGAATCCTCTTTTTTTTTTTCGGGGGGGGGC